TACTCATCACTGTAGTTTACTTAACGGTGTTAAATATATCACAACAGTCGCTCTTAGTTGTAATGCATCATATTCATCAGTAGGTGGCGCTCTGCCAGTTGTCATTGTTGCAATTTTTTTAACTAAGCACCCAAAAAAAGCACTTCTCCTTCGCATGAAGAACACATGTGAAGATGGACACACGTGATGAAGAACACACGTGATGAAGAACACACGTGATGAAGAACACACTTCAGCTGCTCAGTAAAGACGAAAACGTCTTTTTATATTTGAATCAACTGGTTAAAATATTTCTCTGGTGACTAACTGATAATTGACTCATCATCTAAACCTTTTATTGACCCAATCATTCACAAATCACATCTTCCCTCAGCATCAGTCTCCTTCTCCTGGCAGCAAACAGCATATTTACCTCTTTTCTTCTTAAACTGTAGATGATTGTTATGTGTTATATTTGTGTGTGTTCTCCTCTTATCAGACTCCTATGGGGCTTTGGGAAGCTCTGATGTCGTCATTCTGCTCCACGGCTTCCCCACCTCCAGCTACGACTGGAACAAGGTGTCCGCTGCACGGCTCCATCAAAACATTCAAGTGTCTACACCACAGAGAAGATTTAAAACTATATTTATATATTTAATTTTTTCTCTCTCTCTCTCTCCTCACAGATCTGGGAGCCGCTCACTCAGCGCTTCCATCGAGTCATTGCTCTGGATTTTCTGGGGTTCGGCTTCAGCGACAAACCGGTGGGTAAAATTGAAATGTCGTGCAGCAGAGGAAAGAACCAAACTATGTTTTTTAAATATGTTTCCTGCTCGATGCTCTTTTCACTAATTCTCTCCTGGAATCTTCCAGCGGCCACACAGGTACTCCATCTTTGAGCAGGCCAGCGTGGTGGAGGCTCTGGTGGCTCACCTGGGTCTGAGCCACCACAGAGTCAACGTGCTGTCGCATGACTACGGAGACACCGTGGCTCTGGAGCTGCTCTACAGGTGTGTGTGTGTGTGTGTGTGTGTGTGTGTGTGTGTGTGTGTGTTCAGAAACATTTGCATAGACTCACTGAAAACTATCTAAACTCTTTCTCTCCGTTGTTTTTCCACCAGGAGCGACCAGAACCGCACAGGTCACCTGACCTTCAACAGCCTGTGTCTCTCTAACGGAGGTTTCTGTTTTACTCGTGTTTCATTTTAACATCTTTTTGTAGCAACAGAATTAAAACCTTCTGAACTCAGTTACATCATGAGACGATAGATTAAAAATGTGTTTTTAAAATTGAAAGTTCTGACACTCCTTGTTTGCCACAGGAATATTCCCAGAGACGCACCACCCGCGGCTGCTGCAGACGGTGAGTCACCTTCGTTTCCTTCGACCTACTTTTGTCGTGCAAGAATTTAAGAAAAAGATTTGTGAACGGGGATGAGCAGAGGATGTGTGGCTGAGACCTTTTAGTTTTTTTTTTATTCCCAAAAGCTTCTTAAGGACTACGGCTTTCTGTCTCCTCTTCTGATGCGTCTCACCAACTATATGATCTTCCAGAGGGGGTGAGCAGAACCAGAGGTTGTTTCCATGGTGACGTGAATGTATCAGTGTTTCCATTTAGTCGTCTTTTGCTTCCTCTTCTCAGAATCGGTGACGTGTTCGGTCCGTACACGCAACCCACGGACGCCGAGTTCTGGGACATGTGGACGGGTTTGCGCCACAATGACGGCAATCTTGTTTTGGACAGGTGTGTGTTCGTTGTGCTCACCCTGTGTGTGCGCTATGTGTGTGTGTGTGTGTGTGTGTGTGTGTGTGTGTGTG